CTCGCTGCAGCGATTGCTCAGAATCATAGCCAAAGAGGAAGAGGCCGGGGATTTCCCCGAAGAGGAGTCAGAGGACGAGGTCAAAGAAGCAGAGGTCTTCCTCCCCCTGTTTCAAAGTTAGAAATTACGGAGAAAGACCTCTCAGACCTCACTCACAGTAACTGATGGAAGCGGTTGGAGTTGAGGTAGATCATAACGGTCACGTCACAGCAAAGGTAAATGGTACTTTTGTCAATTTTCTAGTAGGCAGCAATAGAGATGATCAGATATGCACACCATAGAGTCCCAAGAATTCCAAGTAATGAACTTGCTGAACAAAGTCTGTTCAAACAGGGTTCTTAATCCCTCACCCCCTCCACAGTGCAGTGAGCCTGCAACCGTACTTGGGTGCCTGCTTTCTCATTCAAGGACAAACCAAATGTCTCAGGGCTCAGGTTCTTCCTGGTATTTTTAAGGCAGTGAAATAAAAGATGGACTGAATTTCATAAAACTTCACAATCATACAATGAGTTTTCAAGAACTGCATGGATAAGTGCAAACAAATAAATTCCACTTCATTTACACTAAAACAAGATTGTATTTGGAATTTTATTTTAATGGAGAGTAAAGCTCAAAGTGATTGTATACATATTTTGGTATATTGCTAATGTCTTGAATATTCTCATTTGTTCATCAAGAAGAAAACCTTTTCTAGCTCAGGTGATTGCAGAAACTGTTTTCTGGACAGCAACTTTTTTTTCCATTTTATCATGGCTCAGAAATTGCAGCTCCACTTCTGTGTCTCCCTAATCAGATTCCTTTCTCCTGGATATTTCAGTTCTGCTGGTTTCTCCAGCAGATTTCTCCCTGGAGATTTCCCCAGGGACAGAGCTGCACAACATCTCCTCGCATTCTTCACCATCACCACCCCGTCAGCTACAGTATGGCAAAATCTGACAGAAGAACGTGACAGGATTCCTAAATCTTAATCCCACTTCGGATTCCTATATCAGTGTCTTTAATGATAATGGATCACACTTTGCCTGGTAACAGTATCAAGGCTATGGTGATACAAAACCTGATGTTATTATAGTCTGAAGGTATATTAATTATGACGTAATTGAGGCTAACATACTGTGGTTCATTTGAAAAATTGTTAAGGCCAACTTCTGTATCTAAACCAAAGACCAAACTTTAATACCATAGACCTAAATACAAGCAAAGTTCTACTACTGCTTGTATCTCCGTGTATGATGGGTAAACAAACACTAATTTAGGCTCTCCTAGTGCTCACTAGCTTCACAAGAGGTTGTGATCATCTCTTCATTACTTAAGGACTTCTCTTAAAACAAGCTTGAAAAGCTTGTGATAAGATTCACCAAGCCTGTCAATTACAAAATCTTGAGCGCAGCACGGGAATTACAGAATGAAGTTCCCTGTCTTACGCTACTCAAAAGATGAATTTAGAGAACCATGATGGCCTTGGAGGAGCACAGATCGTGAACATTCATCTCCGGTCCTGTTCATCTAGCCATTGTTCCAACACCAAAGCAAAAAACAGTCACTCCAACCTTCCCGCCTTCACTCAGGTCTTGACCAGAGCAGGGGGAAACAGAAAGCCAAACTCATTGCTCATTAGTCTGATTCTTTCCTTACCATGGTTTCTCTCGAGTGCTTCCTTTCTTGATTGGTACTGGCAGCTCTCGTAACTGGTATTTCTACTGTTGTACAAGCAGACTGGTGCTTGGTGGCAGGGCGTTCGTGGCTCGCTGGCAGGGACCCTGCAGCATCATGGTGTAGGCAAGAGAGGTCATCTCTCCTGGGCAACCATCCCATTCCACCCCCTCACCTGCCACACCAGCAGCCTGCTTTCAGGTCCCAGGTACAGGACCCAGCCCTAGAGTCTGTTCTTAAGCAAGTCTCCCCAGTTAATTCTCCAAGCTAAACCTTGGTGTTTTTTTAAAAAAGAAAAGAAAATTACAACTGGTATTAGTAACCAGAACTTTTAACACATATGGAGCGTCTTCACAAATAACTGGTTTCCTTCCCTAAAACTCTAACAATTGGTGAATATGCTACTGATAACTCATTTAAAAGATTACAAACCATTTCAGAATTTCTTCATTTGTGCTTTCAAAAGCGGCGTCATTTTTAAATGGCGCCTTTCTGACAAAGATGACTGTACGATGAATGGTGGACACAGTTAACTTGCCTAAATTCCACTGATTGACAGGAGTCAGGGAACAGGTTGAACTGCAAGGAATTCCGCTTGACTATTTGATCATCTGTGGACAAGGCGCAGGGGATTATCTTCTTTTCTGCTGGTGCTGAGGCACCAAACCTCATCTTTGCACCAGCCATTCCTCATTTTTGTGACCTCTGTTCATCTGATTACAGACAACCGTTCTTCAGCCTTTCAGCTGCCTACAATATGACTGGCATGCTGTCATAGATGGCTACAGACTCTTTAGGAGAGACAGACCAACAAGGAGAGGAGGGGGAGTTGCTCTATATGTGAGGGAGCAACTGGAATGCATTGAGCTTGGCCTGGGGGCAAATGAGGAACGAGTTGAAAGCTTGTGGGTTAGAATTAAGGGACAGGCTCACACAGGTGACATTACGGTGGGTGTATACTACAGGCCACCTGACCAGGAGGAGGAGGTTGATGAGGCCTTCTACAGGCAGCTGCAAGCAGCCTCACAGTCACAGGCCCTGGTTCTCATGGGGGACTTCAACCACCCTGACATCAGCTGGGAAGACCATACAGCTAGGCAGGCACAATCCAGGAGGTTCCTACAGAGCATCGATGATAACTTTCTGATGCAAGTGGTGGAGCAACCAACAAGGAAAGGCGCGCTGCTGGACCTCGTGTTAACAAACAAGGAGGGACTGGTGGAGGACGTGAAGGTTGGAGGTAGACTCGGCTGCAGGGTTGGACTAGATGACCCCCAGAGGTCCCTTCCAACCCCTACTATTCTGTGATTCTGTGATTCTATGGGCCAGTACAAGTTCTGTGCGTCTAGGAAGAAGATGGCAAAACAAAAGCAGAACAATTTGCTTTTATATCTGAAGTTACTAGCAGAAAGTTCACATACACGTGGCACACACTCACATTCTCTCTGACAAGGCTTAAACAGTAGGATCCCTGTGGCTCTGTCTTTTCCCTCTATGATATAATGAGAGTGCAGAGAAAAACACAGCTAAATACCAGGTACTTTATTCTTGGTAGTACTGGTCTTGGCCATCCCAAGGTACACAGAGACAGATACTTAACAAAAAAAATGCTGGATCTTTCACAGAAAGTAATTACCACTGTCTGAACTCCTATGAAAATGCAGGCTTATACCCTACCAACACCATCTGTTGATTAGATCTCATCTGATTCATACTGAACAAGCCCTCTACTTAATTCAAATATGCCTGTACAATGAGGACATTTAGTGAAACATTTCCCGAAATTATTTGAAAACTGTAGAGTATCAATACATTAAACGCAAAAGTTTTCATATACTTAATTACAGTACAAATAAGCAACTCTACAAAGAGATAAATCAGTAGTCACTTTATTGTGAAAATTAAATATTGCAGTATTAGTGTTAATTGCAAAAAACCCTGATGGCTTGTTTCTTCCTTCTTTCCCCCTTATGATGAATAGAATACAACACAAATACAAAATCAGTAGTACTCAAAAAAAGTGAAGTTACCAACCTACACTTAAAATCACACTGAATGTTAAAGTCCTGCTAAATGAACAGTTATGACACTTAACAGCATTCTAAACACAATGTATGGCCTGCTCAGACCACTGGTCCCAACCTCCAAAACTTCACCTCTGCCATCTAACTAAAAATGTTAATAGAGCAAAAAATGGGTGTTACTTAAACAGTCAATTTGGTGAGAATTTGGCCTGACTTCAGAGTGAAGTTTGCTATTTCATTAACTGGCTTACAAAGGACTTAAAGCGAGGCCTTGCAAAGTAGGGGGCCAGTAGATACAACCTAGTCATTTCTTGAAAGAGCTCAACTCCAGACAGAGCTTCTGTGTTTTATTCCACCTGGTTTCCCATCAGCTGTTGGTTGCAGAGCTGTAACTACACTTATAGTTCAATTACAAGAACTATCTAGCGGTATCAAGAGCTGCTCTTCCCTACGTATGCAGAGTATATAAGAAATAAATTTTTAATATAGTTAAGCATTATGTGCTGCTTGTCCTGGTGTAAAGTCCTAGCAGAGACATAAAACTTTGAGGAGGGATATAGGACTGTTTTGTTTTTTACTTGAGACAACTAGGCAAGGTCATTACTGCATTCATGAATGACCTGCCCCAGTTTATCTGACACTAATATTGGAGTATTTCTCTCTTGGGATAATTCAAGAAGAAACAGAACTATATTTAGCAGTGAAGATGCAGAGTGTTTTCACAGTGTCCTGGCAGGCAGCGAAACAACAGATTGCGCACAGCCTGCTATCTGGGTGCAGAAAACAGAAATAGCCACCACCTCAGTGTATGGCTGTTGCTAGAGATAAAGGAACCACCTGAAGGGGACTCCTGTCATAGGACACCACGCTAGGATCGATGTTGGCTGCTTTTCACAGATTTGGTGTGTTGGATAGAATTTGCCCACCAAAAAGGCTGCTTTGTTCAACAATTTGTAGTTTGGACTGAGGTCAGTCAGCCCGCATCCTTTTGGCGCAGATGGCTGGGTGATGGGCTACTTGTTTGCCACAAGGGCTCCTTGCCTTTAACTTGTCCTCTCCAGCACACAACACTTCGCTCCAGTGAAAGCAACATTGAAGAAGGTCAGTTCTCGCTCCTCTGCAATTTACCCTTTGTCAGTCAATAACAGGAGGATGGATGGAGAAGAATGTTCCACCCCAAACCTCCAATTTCTGCCCCAAGTGATCAGAAATGGGGTCAGTCTGGCAACAGATCTTCTGAAAAGATAATAATTTTCTAAGGTTTTGGGAGAAGTATCTCCTTCTACCTATTAACAAACTTTTGTTCCAAGTGATAGAGCATTGCTAAACGGCTCCCAAGTAATCCACGACTTCAGATGTTGGGGGCAGGGAGCGGCAATTTCTAGACAGAGACTTCTTGACATCTACATAAACAAAGCAAGAAGGAGGGAAACAGTAAAACAATGCAACAACTTCAGTTGTTCAACTAGACAATAATATAGGATATAGTTTAAAAAAATATATCTATTTCCTTACCACCATCATGTGCTCTTAAGGATTACTATGCATCAGGCAAGCACAAAGTGCTGTAATTTGCATTTAAGAACAGTAGGTGCAGCACAACAGTCTTCATGGCCCACCACCTTGGCTTTCTGGCTTAAATATGACTAAAAACAAGATCGCCTGTAAAAGGAGGCATCAGTCATAAGAGAAACCATGGCGTTGAAAATGCAATAGGCTTCACTTTCTCCGGTGTTCTTCTTCCACATAGCCCACGCTGCAGGATCTGGGCTTTTGAGATGTCTTCAGGCAAAGCAGAATATCCCCCTAATTACTGGCACTCTGTTGCCTTTTACAGTCATGCCTCCAGGAACACTATTTCACTTCTTCAGAGAACTGCCCAGCATTTGTAAGGATGAAACCTTCTTTCATAGTTCATAATCGGCTACACAACCCTCACTCGAAGAGCTACATCCAAAGCAAACTATGTGAAAAGGAGGATTCTTCTTCAGTTGTAGATTACGGAAGGAGCGGCTTTACCCTGGCGTTGGACAGAACGGTGCTGTAGAGCCAAGCAAAATGTCAGGAATATTTGGTGTGGTTTCAAAATTCATACACCACCATTCGCCATCTGAAGAAACGAAGGTGTTACCACACAGGAATTCACAGGTGGTCATCTCAATTAGGACAGTGATTTCAACAGTCCTTGAAGAGCCTGATAACATCCTCAAGACACGCTGACACTTGTACAGCAGCAGAGAGAAACGCATTCTGTGATGGAAGACACTTAATCTTGAATTGGACGTCTATGGATAGGAGAAAATA